AATTAATTGAACGGCTAAGGCTATCATGCTACTTTCCTTCTTCTCTATAGCTGAGCATCGTGTGTCAATTTTTGACATCATCAAAGCAAAAACTTTCTGAATTTATGGCTCCTGTTGTTCAGCCGAAATTGATCACATGAGCTAAGGCGTTTCCTTCAATGGTCTCCGGACCAGAATGCCCCTCTATCGAGGAGGCTTTTTATAATACGAAGGAGTCACTTGTTGGGAAAAGTTATGCTCAGATCTCTTAAAGTATTCTTTTATTTCTCGGTATCCATATACATTTATTTACTACATATATGCTTTCAAAAAAGCAGCATGTCTAAAATTCGTTTATTCAACCTTATCCTACTAATGTGAATTACAAGTAGAGGTCTCTTTAGTCCAAGTTGAAACAATTAACTTTATTTTGCTCTTCTTCACATCTTTTTCCATTCCCATCTGAACGCACATCTCTAAACGCATTGAATATACACACAAATGTATATCTTCTTCTCCTCAGTGCACAGACAAATGCACTGCTCTCGGCCAGGCAGAAGTGAAAGGAGAGTTGACGTGTGAACAGCTTGGCCGGCCGCTGCCATTTCACCGATGTCCAGTTGAGTCGAAGCCCAACGTCACCTGCGCCAATCAGGCCTGCAAGTTCAAGTGGTGGGTCAGTCCGTGGTCAAAGGTGACTGTTCAATTTTACTTGGCCTTTCTGCTTTGCATTGTTGAAACTTAGAGCTACAGAACAATCAAGAAGATTCTAGATTGTCCTCACATTAGCCGGTGCTTCGAATAACTGAGGCCTTCGCTATCGTCTGCACCACGCTATTGAAGTACCATTTATTTAATCATCACGCAAGGTAGTCAGTAGTTTTTGTCACAAAGTAAAATTATCAGATACAAGTTAAAGTATTAAATTGCAGATTCATTACTCCGGCTCACAAATGCTGAAAAGAAAGTTAAGCTTGAAAGTCCTGAAGTTTGGTATTTAAAAAATGAGGGACTAGCTTTGAATGTGTTATTAGTTCAGAGTTTAGGTGTCATATTATCTTCATCTAAACAAATAGGAAAAGTGGCTTCTAGTGGCATAAGCTTCCTTTGTATACATGAGGTGTATTGGAGTAAATTAGTGAATAATGCACTGTCCTGCCACCAGACGATTCCACGTTGAGCTTTAGTCTGTTGCCTCATTGGTATTGTCAAAGTGAGCGCACACTTTTTAACACACTTACTGACCAATCTGGGCCATAAGTAGTTCAAAGTGATGATGAGACTGATAGTTGAAGTCCCTAGAACTAAATGAACAGAAAACC